GGATGGTGTCGTTGTTCATATCTACTTAGTGACAAACCTGCAGTACGTAATAGCAATGACAACGTTGAAGCCGACAGTTGTATTTTTCTAGCTACGGTCATGGTCTAATGCACTGCTGGGAGTGAATTAAAAGACGTCATTAAGTGCACCTGCTGGGTCTGATATTTGTAAATCCACGCACAGGAAACGAACAATTTGGAAATTTTCAATCTGCTTGTAAATACCCGTCGATATGTTTTGTTGGGTATGATTTTGCTTTGCGCTAAGGACATTCATGGGTTTTTTGTTATGATTCATATATGCGAGGGCACGCGCAATTTCTATGAAAACATCAGAAATATGACGGGATTTTTTCCCCTGTAAAAGCCGATGCGTTCCTTTGGGCATTTATAGGCATATAGGATGGTGTCGTTGTTCATATCTACTTAGTGACAACCCTGCAGTAAATAATAGCAATAACAACGTTGAAACCGACAGTTGTATTTTTCTAGCTACGGTCATGGTCTAATGCACCCGAAGAGACTTTTGTTTGGTTTCATTGTTAGCCGGGAAAATTCACGCATTCTCCTCAGCACACTGGGTACAGGAGGTGTACGTGCAATTGCGGGTCAGGGGAAGAGTATTATCTCTCTACAACGAGAAATATTTCGTTTTAACGAGATGGTAGTCTCTCGTGCATGCTAAACGAGCCACAGTAATAACAAGATCCGGGTTCACGTCATCCGTGACGCGAGTCTCAGTGCATGCCCGCTAACCAACCCAAGTACCTACACAGACAGTGAGCTAGTTAAGTAGGCTCTCTCTCTCTCACTCAAGCTCGGGTTTTCATCCTTATGCCATTCTCATCCTCTTACCCCATTCTCATGGGAATGCAGAAATGCATGGGATAATAATAATAATAATAATAATAATAATAATAATAATAGTCCTAACCGTCTAACGCAGATAACCACGGCCCCTTGGAAGGCATTCGTAAGGTTAGCAGGGCCGTAGTGGCCGCCACGGCAACACGGCACTGCCGTGGCACTATTTAGACAAAGAATTGCGCAGGGAACCAAAGAGAAACATATACCAAGTAGATAAAACCCCGGGGGGGCACTCACCCCACATTATGGTAGGTATGTGCCACTGCGAAGTCAAAAATGGGGGGGGGGGTCTCTGAAACTAATGTTTGTTGAATGTGGTATGCTCTGGAACGGGCTATGTTCGAAAATGGGGTCTCCGGAACTAGGATTTCGTTGAAATTCAATGCTATGAAACTGGACACGTTTAAAAGAGGGGGTCTCGGCACTGTGGAGAACAGATGATTTGCTTTAGAAATCTATGCTGTGAGCACTTGAACCAATATGTTTGTATTATGTAGAGGGTAGAAACAACAGTAACCGCGGAGAGAGATGAACGCACGCACGCACACACCACATACACACCGCCCGTACAACACACACACCACACACAACAACACAAACACACACACAACACACAGCCACACGCGCGCGCGCGCGCTTCAACACACACATCACATGCACACACGCACACACAAACACACCAGCGGCACGTACGCACGTACGCACACAGCGACACACACACACCACACACACACACACCCACACACACACACAAACACACCAACACGACAAGCACACGTTGCATGCATGCCTTCAGGCCCGGCTTCAACGATTCTGAAGTACGATGCCGGAACGGAAATATTAAAACTAATATTTCTCATAATTATGTACTCGATAGTATATAACAGTTTTGTAAACAATGTTTATTAGTTACAGTACTCACTAATATACTATTTTAGATACATTTGGTCAAAAAATCAGCTTTACTATACATTCCTCTTTGAAATTACAAATTGATTCGCCTTTTAAAAATGATGCAGACTTGGTGTGCTTTCAACATAGCCTGAACATGCAGATAAATGCCATTTCCAGGCTCTAAATTTCAAAACTTTTTCTGGGGAGTAGGGGGCCTACCCCCAGACCTCGCATCCGCTTCGCGAGATCGCGGCGTTTAGTCATGCGTACGCTGCGCACACACCTGATACCGCCACTCTGATGATTATCATTGGTATGCTTACATTTTCTGGCATGTAGCACATTTTTCGAGCCACTACGCCCTGGTGAAGCTGACCAGTTATATCTGTTATACCAACGAGCCAGTTGCAGAACATGCAGCACGGAAAACCCAGCGGTAACAAAGCGGCACACTAGTACGCGTAAACAACGCTATTCACTAATTATTGACAACGTTCATACTCGCTATGGTACCATTATATACACTATAAGCACTGGCGTTGAATTTGCCTGCCAAAATTATGTCGTTGTTCACGTGACATCAGTTTTCCTCAAACACTACAAAACTTGTCGCACTTGCCTTAGTTCGTCAAACGATGAGGCCGGTCACTGGATCGCTGGTTAATTAGGAAGATACAAGATTACGCCACTGCGCTGGAAAGTCATAGCGCCTTCCCATGAATTGAGCAAGTAAGGTATTTTAAGATAACTAGCGTGACGTAGGCGACTAATTCTAAGTTAAGCCCTGCGTGGGCCGCGCGCCACACCGAAAAATATGGAAGAAATAAAGCACATTGACGTGACGGCCAAGAATAGACCACGCTATAGCTGACCTACTGACTACTGAATAACCAGCTAATGACAAACGTCGGAAGTTGTAACCCGTCCGACTTGCCCCTTTGAAACAATACAGCTTTGAGACAGTAATATATAGTCGAAACGACAGAAAAAGACGGTAACGAGGTCAGGAGACGGTAACGAGAGACGACACACGACAGAGAACGCAGGAACGGAAGTCAAGGTATAGTCCTGTAGATAACTGTAGCATAATGTACATATAATATATATAGGATCTTCATTAAAGTCTGTCTGATGATCGCGTAAGCGTGAAACTAGAGTATACAGCTAAAATGATGTCTTGTCTTTAAGTTATCTACAGACTACAATTTTATATATATAATATATATATATATATAATATAATATAAAAATTAATAAAATATATAATATATATGTATAGTGTGTGGTGTGTGTGTGTGTGTGCGTGTGCGTGGCGTGTGCGTGTGCGTGTGCGTGTGCGTGTGCGTGTCGTGTGCGTGTGCTTGTGCGTGTGCGTGTGCGCGTGGGCGCGTGTGTGCTGTGCATCATGGCGCGTGTGCGTGTGCGTGGCGTGTGGCGTGTCGTGTGCGTGTGGCGCTGTGCGTGTGCGTGTGCGTGTGAAGTGTGCTGCATGTGCGCATGTGCATGTGTTGCATGTTGTATGTGTATGTGTATTGTGTGGTGTCGCGTGTGCGGTGGCACTGTGTGTGCGGTGTGTGTTGTGTGTGTGTGTGTTGTGTTCGTGTGGTGACTGTGTTGTTATTATGTGTGGTGGGTGCTGTGTGGTGTGTGTGTGTGTGTGTGGTGTGTGGTGGTATTGTGTGTTGGTGGTGTGTGTGCAGTGTTACGGTGTTACCCCTTCTTCCCTTCAGCCCTGGCAGTGTGCCTTCCGGCCGGCTTCCGTGTGTGCAGTCAGTCCCCCACCCTCGCTCGTGACAGCTCGGTGTCTCCAACCACAGTAAGTTTGGGTCTCCGGGGAAGGTGTACTGACGGGTGAGGGGTTTCATCGAGCTCATACGGAGGGCAGCGGGAGTATCTATCGTAGAGGACGCGCGCGTGGACCGCGATCTGCGCGAGCGCAAGTAACGCCGGTAACAGCTCGTGTGTCCTTCTTTACGTAACAGGCGAACACATAGCAACAGAGACTGGTGCGGGCACGCCGCTGTTAGGGTCTATGTCCTCCCCTGAAGAAGCCTGAGGGATCGAAGATGGGGATTTGACCTGAAGGCAATCGATGCGATTCTAAAGGGCTATAGTTTCCTGCACGGTCGGAGAAGCCGAGGAGAGGAGAGCGGAGAGCGCTGATAGTGATAGATTGGAATATAATAAGGATATGATATAGTAGCTTACAGTATTAGTTTAGAAAATAAGCTAAAGCGAACCAAGTCAATACATGAGGTCGAGGGGAGAACATAGACTCATTATCTAGCACAACTTGCTGGACGCGTTACATATTCCATTCGCTATACCATCACTCGCCCATCACCACTTCAATGAACTGTTACCCACGCCTCGAGCGTTCACCGCCCACCACAGTAGCATGCCTATCGTCCGCGCCGGCGATAACAGTGGCTGCGTTACGTCACCGCACGCGTCATCTACTTACCCGTTTTCCGCCGCAAGCTAAGATAAAAACGTTTTGATTATTTGTTCGCCTCTCAAAAATAAAATTTCGCGCCGAATTGGGGGGGGGACTGACCTAAAAAAGAATTCCGCGGAAGTACGCCACCCAGCTTGCCACCTACACAACTGCGTATGCGCCCGTTTATGCTACATCCTGCTCACCCGGCCGCTATGCTAATGCACAGGCCATCAATTACAATCGGTCGCATAGTTGCCTACGTCAGACAGTAGTTGTGCGATCTTACAATGCTCTCGACACATGTTATGCCAGCTAGCCAGTTTCATGTGGCGTCAAATTTTGCAGTTGTATACTAATACACTTATATGAGTTTTGTCAAACCCCAGCTCACCTCGGTCCTCACCAAGGCGAGTAAGGTCGAGAGTCGACGCAAGGCTCAGTTTCAGCGCCACGTGCGAAACCTGCGTCACACTCCCACACGTGGAACATTGATGCATAGCTAGCTTGTTCACCACACACAAAGCGTGAGAGGATCAATTGAATATCAGAAAGGGAATGTATTGGTAGCAAGTGCATGCCGTTTCCGCAATGTAT